GAAATTATGAACATTGCTCAATATCATGAAAATTAAACCTTATTTTCAATAAGCAATCCTGAAAAATATTTGGGGGTGCTTAACTTTTTTCCAGGTGTATATTTGGGGTTTCAAAATGCTTCACTGTTTTTCCTTCATCTAATTTGTTTTTTCACCAAGACTTATCGTGTCTTACTCCTTCACACAATTTTTAACCCTCAGTGCTTGTAATTCAAGTTAAAACCAGCAGTATACAGACTGTAATGTGTAAGTGTTGTAACTTCAATGAAAGGTTGGGCTGCAATTACATATTAATTTTGTAAAAAATCACATGTGCATATTGTTTTATTACTACTAACTTAACCTCGTAACAACTTTGGCTTAATCAAAAGAAAGCTAAAACTCTCTAACTTCAAGCTTACCCTTGTGGTGTATGCTCCTTCTGTTGCACTTTCTATTTCTCTAGAGAGACCAAAATCAGCTATCTTACAAACTAAACTCGAATTCACCAAAACGTTACGAGCAGCAAGATCCTGGAAGAAACATTAATTATGAATGTTAAGTTCTAGAGCTAGAGTAAAAAGTTTATATTTTTATTTTGTTCAAAAAAAAAAATTGTTGAACTATTTCATAATAAACTTCCACAATGAAATCTCACTTCATGTCATTGAGAAATTGATGGTATAATTTGATAAATATGTGTTGTATAAATATTTTGCACATACATTATCTTCTTTGAATGTGGAAAATATTTATTTTATCTACAGAGTATCATGCTTACATACCCTGTGTACATAACTCATTTCAGACAAATACTGCATTCCTACTGCAATTCCTCGTAACATCCCGACAAGTTGAATAACCTGGAATTTTCCATCATTTGCCTGAAGGAAAACAAATAAACAATAGATCCATCAGATACTGTATTGATTAATCAGTAATCAAGATTATGAAAAATATTAAGATACACTGCAAACATTTTTTACTAGCCAACTATTGCAAATAGCTTTCTAAATAAACTAATTATGACAATGCTCTTATATTAACTGCTCACCATTCTCTATGGCTACTAAAACTTTAGTTTCTATTGCTAAAAAAAAGCCCATCTTCAAACACACCGATTAAAATATTCTTACTCTTTATTTTATAATCCAAACTTACTCGCAAGAAGGTATCCAAAGATCCATTTTCCATAAATTCTGTGATGATCATGACTGGGTTACTTTTTGTGACTACACCTTGTAGGTAGATAACATTGGGGTGATCAAACTGCCCCATAATGCTAGCCTCTGTGAGGAAGTCCATGCGAGCTTTGTCTGAGGAGCCTGGTTTAAGGGTTTTGATAGCCACAGTAATCTCTGGTCGTCCTGGAACTTTTAGTTTACCTTTACATACATCTCCAAACTCACCTAAGTAAAAAATATACAAACCTTTATAAATTTCATAAACATATATTTTTGAAGAGTCTTCCAGTTTTTTCATTTCTGCACTTAAAAACTGTGCAAAGTGAATGAAAGATTAGTATGAATGTACTGGAATAAATGTTTTGTGAATTACTTTTTAAAAACATACACAACTTATGCAACACTACTAAGAACAAAATACATATACACAGGATAATAATATAAGTGAATAATTACTGAAAAAGTAATTATTTTCTTCAGTTATATAAAAAATTGGGTGTTTTTTTGCTTTGTAGGATCATCAATGTTGACTGGTATGCAAATTTTGCAAAAAAAAAAAAAGTTAGTGAAGTCACATCTATGAAAAAAAAAATCACAAATATAATGGATTCTGGCCTATTCCACAAAAACTAAACCATGTAAATTACTTACTGAGAAAATAATTGTTTTCATCAATTATTTTTAAAAAATTCTGTGCATTTTTTTTTTAAATCATCAAGTGTGACTGGTACACAAGTTATACAAGAAAAAGGTAGTGAAATTAAGTGTATAAAAAAAGATCACAAACATAATGGATTCTTGCCTATTTCACAAAAACCAAAATCATTTAAACTTCTTACCTCCACCAATAATAGCTTCAATAGTTATGTGCAGAGCATCAATTTCTTTAGCAAATTCTCTTACAGCTTGGTTGGGGTCTTCATAAGTGTGTGGATCAATGTAGCTCCTTGTTGCTCCACAGTGGGTGAACAAAGGAGTAGTAACTGTGTAAGTCAATAACCAGTATCTTAGTTAATGTTGCAGAGAATGGATGTTATTCAAATTTGAATATGATGGGATTAAGTGTTAATGAATTAGAGTCATCTTTTTTTAAAAAAAAGTTTAATACATAGTGTCTGAAAAGTCTGGAACGATTGGTGATTTGTGACTTTTCTTAATTTTGGATACGTGACTAATTGTGGTGCTGTCAAAGCGTGAGAAGGTCGAGTCAATCTTGCTGTGTGGCATAGAAGGTTGGTCCCAACGAAAGGTTGCAGCCAAATTTAATGCACGCCATCCAGAGGGAGAGAGAAAAACATCACTCACAGTGTTGTTGGGAAATTACTAAATTTAAATAGACTGACCATGTAGATCATTGACAATGGTATGAATATGCTTCAAAGTGTTCAAAGAGAATGAAAATACTGTCTCCAAACTTGTTTCTTATTATAAGGACAGCGTGTGGAACACATTCTATAAAAGTCATTAAAGAAGTGCCTATATTTCCAGACTTTTTGGACACCCTGTAGATCTTCCTTGAGCTTGAATGTTTACAGGAATCTCTATAGATGTTACTTTTGAAGCTTTTTGTCCAAGTACTATTGAGACCAACTAAAAGGCTACCTTACTTTCCCTACAGTTTCAGTGGTTGCTTCTGTCTATAAACCCAAAAGAATTAAAATCTATGAGTATTCACTCATAGACTGGTATGTTTAGCAGTGGGAGCAGACTGTAGTTAAACAGGATGATATACTTTTAATGCATTTTTCTAATTGACATTTGTTTCTTATGCAATTTATATGTATGACTAAAGGTTATAGAATATATGACAAATACACAGTTGATTTTAACCAACAGTAATACAACTCTCCTTTGCTTAAGACAGTCTGAACATGTGACTTTTGTTAGCAACACCACAGATGAAAATAACAATATTATACATAAAAGCAGCCACTTGAACAATAAGAAAATACAAGGAGGCTTTTTAACAAAATCAATTCACATTAATTGATTGAAACATCAAAAATAGGAGTTTATGGATATATAACAAACAGTTCCTTTACGTAACTAATCCTAACACAAGCTGGGAGTTGGTAAGTTTCAAATATTACAGTATCATAAAAATTCTCCCCAATTTCAACCAATCAGTCTCTCCATAAACCCAGAGCTACCACAGACTGATATACTGCAGAAACCCTAGTCATTATCACCAGCACTTAATTTCAATGCTAATTCTGCAGTATGATTTGACACAACAGGCAACTCAATTAGCATGTTCCCAAAACTTGACATCTTAATCCGAGGATTGGATATGTCCACATCACGCGCAAATATTTATGTATGATTAATTCTATCAACATACATCTATTGATAATTTCAAACAATATAGTTGAACAAGCATTTTTCACTTTTAAAATAACTTTGAAGAACACGTATTCCATTTCTTACCAATCTTATTAAAATATATAATATTGCCTATATATGTGATACATATTGTGCATTTCTCTTGCAACTCTAGTAGAGAATACAAATGTAGCTAATACTATGTTAATTAATACTTCATTATAAAAATGTTAAGACATTCATTGTTACAATTAATACTTCACCATAAAAACATTAAGACAATCATGATTAATGCAAATAAACAGAATAGTGCCAACTTATCATCCAAATTCACTCGAGTATAAATTACTTTTAAAGATAATTCCTATTGTGTGCTGGTAGAAGGATAACATTTATCACAGAGATTGTAAAGTTATCACAGGCATTGAATAACATTTTAACTGTTTTAGTAATATAGCATCATACACACACATACGTCTCTCTGATTATAAAAAATGAGACTTTTAAATTTATTTTAGTTTTGTTAGAAAGTATCTATACAGAGAAAAAGGAATTGAAACCAAAATAAACAGAACATAAATCGGGCAATTTTGACGGTTTGTTATTTCATTTCTAACGAGTCATAGTAGAAACAAAACAAACAATAAAATTATGTTGTTTTGACCACAAACTAAGCAGAGTTTCAAGCACTAAAGAAATTTAAGTCTCTGGCAGATATTTGGAGGAAGGTTGTAAGTACTTACTACGAGCAGTTGGGACAATAGGAGGGTGTTCCAAGGCAGGTACTACTATTAGATGAAGATAGAAAAAACAACAACAGAGAACACCTTTCAGACACTTGTTTGTGAAATCCCAAAAGCAAAAAAGACACAGTATGTTAGTAAGGTTTATATTAGAACAACTTTAGATATTTGTAGAATTGGCTTTCCTAGTGCTCTGTAATTTACTACTGCATCTAAATAGCACCATACATACAATATATACACTCGACTATCATAAATCAACTGTAACAATACTTGTAATGCTTTAATAACTACTAATTAAGCTAAATCACAATCAAAATACACTGACAAATAGAAGGCCTTGCTATTGTTTTTGTTTGTAATTAAGCACAAAGCTACACAATGGGCTATATGTGCTCTGCCCACCACGGGTATCAAAACCCGGTTTCTAGCGTTGTAAGTCCGCAGACATACCGCTGTGCCACTGGGGGGCGCCTTGCTATTGATTTCTACACATTAAAACAGTGCAAAGAATTAGTATTTTCCAAATGTATTACATGATTACAACGTATTACCAATATTACATCAGTAAAGAAGAAATACAGTTGTGATTGTTTATATAATAATAGTCGTATAACTAATAATATAGAACTTCAGCACCATTGGTTATTCATTGAAGTCAGATTTTTTCTATAATAATTGAAAACAAAACTTATTGACTAATTTATTTTACAGGCTTATATTGTTTATTAATACACACATTGAAACTAATGAACTTTGGAATATCACTGTCAGAATTTTAACATATTTTTTACCTCATATTAAAAAGTTATTACTACTCTTGGAAATCTGAATTTTTTTGTCATGTTTTTAAAGTGTAAGAAATATCTAAACTATGCAACTACATGATATGTTAAGCATAACATCTTCAGAGATCTTTAGAATAGGTAAAATTACACAAATAATACCAACCCTTACATTTGTTACCTTCCCCATTTCTGTATTCAAGAGTATCACAATCACTGGGCTGTTTTTTGTTACATTCTTCAGAGCTTCTGAAAAGATAAGGTAAAATTCAATTAACATGTCCTAGCTGCTCGATGTAAACATGATGTTGCTGTTGTTCATAGTTTTATTATTTTAGAACTCACCCCTATCACCAGTACTCAGTAACCTCTACATGGAACATTTCAAAGGCAACACCTAAGATATGGCTTATACATGTTGACAGTACATTTGTAAAATGGCTACACACACTATATATAGGATTCCAAATTCATATAACACCTGAAAAGAAAATTTCCAGCAATACAATTTACATGGAAAGAGAAGAAGAGAAATTCTCATTCTTAGATGTGATGGTTAAATAACTCATACACCACAGGTTTTACAGGAAACCCACAGATACCAGTAAGTACCTAAACTACAAACCAAAACAACACAATAGTGTAAAGTCAGGCATCACAGATTGTCAAGTTTTCAGAATGAGCAAGATCCAGCCACGGACTAGCCTAATGAGACATCAGGAAAATTTCCAGTGGGCCTCCTTGGAAAAGTGTGTAGTTTTGTTATTCTTATAACAAATTTGTGAGCCCCTTCTAGTTTCTTTTCCAGTAAAATTTTTGGGTTCAAGTTAAGAAGGAAGAAAAACATATCACTACAACCCTCCTTAACAATGGATACCCAATGATAAGGGAAGAAAAACACATCACTACAATCCTCATTAACAATGGATACCCAGAACACTTGATAAACACCAAGAAGAAAAACATATCATGACAATCCTCCTTAACAATGGATACCCTGAACATTTGATAAACACCAAGAAGAAAAAGGAAGAAAAACACATCACTACAATCCTCATTAACAATGGATACCCAGAACACTTGATAAACACCAAGAAGAAAAAGGAAGAAAAACATATCATGACAATCCTCCTTAACAATGGATACCCTGAACATTTGATAAACACCAATAAGAAACAGGAAGAAAATTACAGAGAATACTTAAACAACTTAAAGTCAGAACACCACTTTAAAAGCACAACACAATACAGTCACATTTAGTACAACAAACCACCTCAATTTATACATTGTATATCATTTCTTATGAATGTGGGCTTCAATATACTGGAGAAACAAACAGACAAATAAAAGTTAGAAATCAGGAGCATAATAGACATACAAGACTTTTTAACGCCAAAATACCTGCAACAGTCCATCATTCCAGAGAGTAAAAACATATAATAAAATAGAATAACACTAAAATAAATATTAATCAAATATGAGAAAAAAAAATGGAAAACTCTTCTACATCCACCTAACTGATAACACACTGAATCAACCTAGCAAAGAAGTCAATAAAACCCAGATACTCCTCTTGAAAGCATTCAGATAAGTTAGTTAGTTCAACTCCTAATGTGTTCACATTCATATGCACAAACAGCAGAACAAATCAGAATTTTGGGTGAGGGCACTGACTCATTTGCTAAGTTGAAACAGTGACTTTCCCAGATAATTTTACACAAGTGTTTATTCCCCATTCAAAGGGGCACTTTCCTACTAAGTCAAAAATTGAGGGGCATGTGTCACCAGTAACCTAAATTCATATTATCCATAAGCTTTTTTTTATAGGACACTACTATCTGCAGCATAATGAACATACAAAGCAGCTAGTACTATGTATGTGTTAACTGTCTATACTAATAAAATCAAACGTTTTGTCAGGCAGGCTGTAGCGGTGCCTATGTAGGGATGGCCTGGATTGATCATTGAAATGGTACTTTAAATATCTCCTCAATAGGTCATCAGAACTTTACAATACTATACAGTGTTTCTTTTTATAACAATATCTATGTAATGACTGAGTCACAGGTTCTGGGAAGGTCTTATAAATATCACAGCAAAAAGTTTGAATTTCTTGTTCTTTTTTCTGCTACTTCTTTTTTATTACACGATAACTTAAAAAACAAAACAATGGTGTCAACCAATTTCACTGAGGTGACATAGTTTCAAATAGAGAATCCACTTTTATGAGTATTATTAACTAGTAATAAAAAAAAACATAATTCTAGTGTAAACGATGTTATAATTATCCCTTGAAGTTAACTTTCTTACATATATTTGGTGTTTCTTTAAAAAGCTTAAGTACAGGGTGAAACAAGAATTACCAGCAAATAACAGATAAACAATAAATATTACAGTTGGAACCTCACTGTATTTAGAACTGGGTTATAAATACAACCTTTATATGTCTATTGAAACACTGCATTAAAAAAAAACAAGTAGAGAAAAACTTTTCCAAAAAGAAGTAAATGTAGGGATGGCATTTGTATCATCCCTATATAATAGCACAGGCAATAATTAACATATAGCAATATATATATATTAATCACAATTGAGTAAATTTATCCTATTTTTTGTCTGTTAACAAACTGTGGTATTATATAGGGATGATACAAATGTCATCCCAACTATCTTGTTTGTATTCAACCACAATTGAGTAAATTTATCCTATTTTTGTCTGTTAACAAACTGTGATATTATATAGGGATGATACAAATGTCATCTCAACTATCTTGTTTGTATTTAACCACAATTGAGTAAATTTATCCTATTTTTTGTCTGTTAACAAACTGTGATATTATATAGGGATGATAAAAATGTCATACCAACTATCTTGTTTGTATTCAACTATAATTGAGTAAATTTATCCTATTTTTGTCTGTTAACAAACTGTGATATTATATAGGGATGATACAAATGTGATACCAACTATCTTGTTTGTATTCAACTACAATTGAGTAAATTTATCCTATTTTTGTCTGTTAACATTCTACTACACTGTGTGCCTGTGCTATTATGTAAGGATGATGCAAATGCCATCCCTACTATCTTGTTTGCATTTGCTTTGAAGGATTGATATTACTATTAGCGATTCCTACATTTACTTTCTTTTCTTTTTTTGAAAAGTTTGTTCTTGTAATATTTTTTCAAAGGTAAAGCCAATAAATGTTCAGCCTCACACAAAACGAATTCACTAAAAAAAGAGTGACATATATTCTTATCTTAATGACATTTATTTGCCTTACCTCCTGATATACAGAACAATCATAACGATGACAACAACAACAAGGACAACGACAGCAACTGTGGCACCAGCAATAATTCGAACTTGAACTTTATCTTCATTGTCAATATAAGCTAATGGGAAAAAAAGAAAACTAATTATATATAACATCCAAATGTATGTAAAAATAATTAGTAAATATTAGACATATCCTGAAAACGTAAGGAAGAACAAGAATGTCCTTCATTTACAAATGTTCATTAACATGTCATGGCTACTAAAAACACTTCAGTGAAATGAATAAATAATTATTTTTCATCATTATATAGAGCTGAAAATTTTCTTAGGCATATTCCTGTTTCATTGAATATGAAGGTTTAACTACAATGTGGTACTGGTGTAATAATCTATGCAAGTATCAGTTAGTACTACAATATCTACAGTGCTACCAACCCTCTCTCGTTGAACGTGAGACTCACGTATTTGAGCCTGTTCTCACGCTCACACGCATTGGTAACAAATCTCACGTTTTTGTCAAATTAGTAGTTTTGTATAACGCATTGTAGTTGATCGACCAGCTGGACCAGGTCAAATGCAGCATTACGTTAATCCAGGAAGAGCACCAGATTGCACCATTTTGCTTTATTGGACAAAATATTTTCTGGGGAATCATGCCCCCAGAACCCCCTAGAAGTCAACTGCTTTCGGTGCCAGCAGAACTTTACGGCGTGCTAAAATTTAACATTTTCAAAAGTTTCACAGGAACAGATTCCTAAAAGTTGGCAGCCCTGCATCTATATCACAAATGTATAGGCCTATAGACTTAAATTAAAATTCGCAAGAAGTATTATTTATTTTAATAAACTGGTGTATAGCCTATTAAAAATGATGGGTGTTAAGAAAACTTTCTAAAGATTGCTATAAATTTACTAACAACAATATTATTCATATTACAAATCACATCTTTGTTTCGTAATATTTCTTTTTCCACAACATTGGCAATATTTACATGTTATTTCTAGTGTTAGAAAGCGTCCGAAAAAAAATTGGAAAAATTTTCAGCATTTTTAGTTATTGTTGCATAATACATTTTTAAACGTTTTTACATTCCTATTCTTCTATTCTTACTGTAACTTTTCACATGTCGTAACAAAGTATTTATATATTAAAGAAATATTAAGTTCTTTAACTGCGTAATTTAAATACTATGCGTTAACACTTATACACATGTAACTAAATATTATCTGACTCTAACATTAACAGTAGGTCAATTTAAATTATAGTATAATTTAAGCATTAGGCCTAATACATAAACGTAATGTAAAGCTTAGCTGAAACACTACTTCACTGAAATCCTTGGTAACTTTTATTTTGCTTTTGCCTACAACACAATGGTAAAAACTTAGATATTCATCAAACAACTGAAAAAATATAAATAAATGATAAGAGAACCTAAAGTACTATTTATTTTGTAATTAGGCCTAAAGTAAAGACGTAGTGTGCAATAACTTACCCTAGGCCAAGGTGCATAAAACTTCTCACGAAAGAAAAATATCAATTCTAAATCTAAATTATTTAGCTGATATATCACCAAAGTTATCAAAAAAATAAAGAATAAAAAACAAATCTTTCTGACAAATCAACATGCATATTAAGCATTCAACTTAAACACCATAGATGGCCTAACAACAATATCAGGTGATAGTTTTGTTGCTAAGAGACGATGTATAGTGTTGAGCATTACCAAAAAAGGAGCGTGACACGACGACAATAACTGCTTATTATATACATTAATTACTAAATACAACCTATCATCCGTGATATCAGTAATATTGTCATCTGTTTACATTAATAATATAATCTTTTATATTTCGTGGAAAAAAAAAAACCTACTTAAACTTCAAGTTTTGTCAAATGAACATCAAAATGCATTTACACATACTGCTTCATATAAAAAAACAATATCAAAACCGTTTAAAATATGACGCACATAAAACAATATACCAGATTTTCAGCTAATACTATTAACACTATATTCATCATATTAAACAAATTATGTTTATGTGAACCTAAAATGAACAACGTACCTGTACTGTCGATAATCGGTCCAGTTGATTCAAAAATGGTTTTACTGAATTCTCCCCACCCGTGGGCTGTCTTGGCTCTCACCTATGAAAACATCCAAATGAACATATTGACAAAAATCCATAATCGAACCCTGCAAGAACATGTCAGGTTAAAAAATTTTAATAATATGTATTTTTACAGTTACAATGCTTCACAATATTATCTATTTAAATTGTTATACAAAATTAGGCTATATTTATTTATTTACATATGACTTATTCTATAATTATTTTGCTACAACATTGCATTCTCAAGTTAATATTAGTAAATTAATTAAATAATAACATGTTAAATTTACCCGGGAAGAAAAGCTGAAATATAGGGTTAAGCTTGTACTTTACTAATAACAATGTTATTAACGCCACCTGGGGACATATATTATGCATTACCTGGAAGCCATATTCAGTTCTTTGTTTTAAATTAGCAAAAGTAGATTTTTCCTTCTTCGTCAAAATTGCTGTGGCGTTATTTTCGTTGCCTCGGGGGAAGTATCTTACTTCATACATTTCAATGTTAGTGAAAGGATCTACCGGAGGTTTCCAGGCTAACACAATTTCAGAATTTTTTACAGATACAATGCGCACATTTGCTACGACAGAGGGCACTGTAGCGAAAAAATAAAATACAGTGATAAGTATAATTCAATGTAGTAAAACTAAAACAAGCCACTTCAAACTAATTAATCTTTATTTTTAAATTATTGTTTTGTTAGTGGAAAGCTACACAATGTAGATATGATAAAGAAAATGAATATAATATGTTTCAAAAACGTATACCAGTTCTAAGAACTGGTGTTAAACAGTTAAGTTTCCCTTTGAAGGGGTAATTTTTAGGACAAAAGAATGGTTTACATTTCACATTACATATGATATGAATATTTACACTCCCTGAAAAACAGTCCCGACTCCAGCTTTTCTTAACTGAGAGGAAAATGAGAGAATGAGACAAAATGGGGCCAAATCTGAAATTACATAAATGGACGGCATTAACTTGGGGCACAATGAGAAACAGTATTGCGAAAACCGGAAAGGAAAGATAACTTCTACTGCAATATGCACATGCTCAATATCTAAGGAACGTTACTAGAAATTTTGTTGAAGTAATTTGAATATTGCAGGGGTAGACGATTACAAAAATTATTTAAATACATTTGTGTGCAAGATTTGTATGTAGTAAATAAATCACGGCGGAGTTTACACGAGTAAATAAAAAATTAAATATAAGTTATAAAACTGGTACAAATAGAAAATGAGAAGAACCAGAATTTAAAATAATACGTTTTTAGTTATTGGTAGCTTTATATTAAATTACTTTAATCAAGGTGATATTTAAATTGTTGAAGTTTTAAAATACAAAATCGTGGGTAATAAAGTGGCATTTCAACATTTGCACCTATTGTGATTCGATCCCGAGTCCAATAAGATACATATTACTGCTATCATATTAATAAGATATCCTTCTTAATAATTCAAACTATCCAGTTATAGTGAATGACAAATTGTGTCACTAATTATAAGTCTCATTAATTGTACTTCTCGAGCTTTTAGTGTAGTAACATCAAGGAGAAACTCCAAGTTTGATAATGAATAACATGACAAATTAATATGCCGGTTATATCTGCCAATCAAACGTTTATTACCCCTCACAAATTAATAGTTCTCATCACTGATCACCGTGTCATGAAATATAAATTCCCCAAAGTTAATAAGGTATTAAATAGCTCTTTCATTACAGTAGCGAGCCAGTGATGTCACAGGACGACAAAATAAAAGGATGGATTGTAGAGATGTGTAAATGCGTTACAGTAGCGGGTCAGTAATGTAAAAAAACAAAAACACATCTATTCAAGTGTAAAGTTGCGCTTAGTGTTACTTGGGGGAGGGGCAATGATGTCACAAACGATGTACAAAGATTGGTTCAAGTGAGCGAAAACATAATAGCTCAGTAAATAGGTGAAATAATCTTATGTTTAAAAAATAAATTAACCAGGGTTATGACACCAGTCTAAATGGCTATTTCTTAGAAATTGGGGGTTTTTCACTCTAAACAACACCTTATGCACACATGTACCAAATGGCCAGGTCAGAGACCTCTATGGTTCAGGAATGGCCGTCCCTATTTTAACTACTGACCATTGTGGAAGGCAGCCAGTCAGAAACGCTCGCCCTCCATCCACACGACTATCCTTAAACGTAGAGTGGGATTGATGGTCACTTTAATAATGCGCCTATAGCTGATGGTGCAGAGCGTGATTTGCAACATTACGCCTTACTTTTTAGAAAATCAATAAACACATTCAAAGAGCCCTTAACTCAATAGGATGATAAATCGAAATCTTACCAGACGCCTCAGTAGTAACCGTTATGTCAACATAGTGGCTATCACTAAAATCTGATACACCATTTTCCGCAAAAATCTGAAGTCTGTAAGTGGTTACTGGATTCAAACCAGAGATTGTGACTTTTGTGTCGTTGAATCCTTCCTGAGCAGGAACATAAGAAACGGCATTTCCACATGCATCACATGTAACCCTGTAGCTCGTGTCTGTCCGTCCACCTACGTAACTTGGTGCCTGCCAAGACAAGATGACTGTTGACTGATCTACGAAGTTGACGGTTAAATTCCGAGGCGCTGATGGTGGCTCTATATGCAAATAAAAAGAAACCACACACACATACAAATGAAATTCAATTAACACAAAAATGTTATTTGTATTAGTGTCACGGCATCTGTTGAAAACAAGCTTGTAACACATTTCCTTTTAAAAAGGAGGTTATCTGAGGCGAATATTGTGTACAATCTTAATTGAAATCATTATGCTGGTTAAAGAAGACTTACAAAAAAATTTTTTATATATATTTTTCTGAGTAGCAATGCTCAAAAAGAACTAGGATTTAGTTGAATGACTTTTAAACTAACCACAGTATTTTATTACAAATCAAGATAACCAGATGATAAATTTACCAGATCGATTTATGGAACTTAGAAACACAATACCCGACACACCATAATACATTAAAACCTCCATATATACTACCTTCAAACACCTACTTTTGTGCCAGGCTAAACAAATGTTTAATCTACCTGAATCATTATATCTCTGATGTACGGCTACAATACACATATCAAGCTTGCATTTAACTATTAGTTAGGCTTAATAGATAATAATAATCATATTTTTCTCGTAACTCACGAGTACAGGGCATGTGTTTTGGATCTTTCAGTGCTCTGAAGTAATTTTCGTCACAACGACATTCCATTGATCCCTTATAGGGGGCGCTGCTACGGGCTGGGCAAGTGGCGCACTTTTCGTCTCCTATTGTTGACTTGAATGTCGCTTTTGGACAAACTAATAGAAACAAAAAATAACAATTTTAATTAATATTTTTGTCTACATTTGTTCCGATGTTTATTGTTCTACTAATGAACTATTTGACTAATAACTCATTAAAAGTAAGCCAGCTACACAGATCAGAACAAAAATCAGTAACTTATAAATCAATGAGGACAATTCTATATAACAAATTGGTAAGGAATACATAAAGTCAAAAACCAATAAACTAGGAAACTAAAACCTATTGTGGTTAGTAATTGAAAGTAAAACACACATAAACCGACTTTTTAATCTATAATTTTAAAACGAGTGTGTGGGAAAAGACTGATAAAAATATAACTAAGAAAATCATTTCTGACTTATGACCCCTCTCCTCCAGTACAAGCCTATTAAATGTATAATAAATATTATCAAGAATATATGAAAATTAACGTTAAAACAAAACAAAGAACAATAATGGCCCGTGAATATTTTTAACGTTAGGTACAGTGTTGTACATGTAACTATTTTACATTTTAAAAATTTATTGCAGTGATTTTGATATTGTAACAAGAAACCATATTCTTAATCAAAATAGAACTAGAATGACACCAAGACTCTCTCAACTAATCTTACACGTTTTTAAACTAAAATTGTTTGTTTTGTCGAACTTCGCGCAAAGCTACATGAGAGTGATAACTATCCCTAATTTTAAAGTGATAAACAAGAGGTAAGACAAGTAGTCAACGCCACTCACCGCCAACTCTTGGGTTACTCTTATTTGACTGAACAGTGTGATTTGATTATCACTTTTATAGTGCATAACATATACTCCAAAGTGCGGAGGGTTTGTTTTGTTTTGAATTTCGCGCAAAGCTACAAGAGAGCTTTCTGCGCTAGCTGTCCCTAATTTAGCAGTGAAACATTAGAGTGAAGGCAGCTAGTCATCACCACCCAACGCTAATTCTGGGACTACTCTTTTACCAACAAATATTGAGATTGACCGTCATATTATAACGCCCCACGGCTGCAAGGGCGAGCATGTTTGGTGGTAAGATTATTCGAACCCGTGACCCGCAGATTGCGAGTCGAGCTCCCTAACCACCTGGCCATGTTTTTGCAACAACAAGATGCGAACCATAAAATGGCTAATTCACAGTCTGTACACTAACCACTGGGCCACGCCTGACCCCTTAAACTAAATATATATATATATATATATTGTACTTATACACGTACGATTCCTTCAAGGGTTGTTGTCAAAAATGAAGTCTCTTTTCTTATTAATTTAAAACGAGTCTTAAAATTATTCATTCAATCAAATGAATTTAATGAATGTAGAACTAATAACAATCTATCCAAACTAAAAAAAAAATCTCTAGCGTAGGTCTAAAGAGAAAAAAAGATGATAGGTATGTTTAATAATTTATATTTTTTTAAATACATGTTGTCTGATGAAACACGCACATCTAGAATGTTTACACGGATTTGATTCCAATCAACATATAAAACAAATCGGGCAGTCGATTTTAGTAATTAAGCACGCACGTTTCCAAAAGCTTGTACAAAGTTTTTTTTGTATCTCTCTTAAAAGTGATGCCCTTTTAGAAGGTTAGCAATACGTGCGTAATTACGTACCAAACTTTTTATTTTTTTGAAAGCTCAAGATTAATAAGCAGTTGGGAATCGCTCTTGGTTATTTTACTCTATAGAGAAAGGCACAGATCGCTACAGAGTTTTTACAGTGAAATATTATCAGTAAATCAATGGTATTCACAGCAAATAAAAATTACTTAAATCAGACACTTGAAATTACAGAGAAATCACGACTGACCTAATGACTGAAATAAACTTCAATTTTCAACAAGCTACATTTTTTTTCTCCCTTGAATTCTTTCATACTCTAAGGATTTGATAACAAATATCCATGAATTTTTATAAGTTTTTTGTATCTAGTTTAACTTACATATAAATCAAAAGTTTCGTGATAAAGAAAGCCAAACATTTTCCAACAAGATAAAGTGTCAGTACAGGCGCATCAGGGGAGCTACGAGCCAGTCCTTATTCTCTTCCACAAACGATATACATGCTTTCTTGACATGCCTAGTTTGTGAGAGAGAGAGAGAGACAAGCTTACAACTTCTCTACATATGTAGGTAGAATTTGCATGCGAATCAGAGTTGGAATTTACTTCGGTCGACTTCCACAGAAAGAGCGCCACCGTTAGGATAATAGAACCTTCCCTAGTACAAAGTACTTCGCAATCCATAACTATTTCTCACAAGGCAATTCGGGCTCGGTATTCACTGTTCTATATTTTTGGAATATTCACGGGTTCACTGTTGCTGTGGAAACTGTAATGCCCAGCTAACACCAAGGGATAAAACAATCCTTGTATAAAACGGGCATTCTAACTGGTAATAGTACAAATTATAGCGAGAAAAGTACGTCATTAAGATCATACAAAAATAACTTATGGGGAAAAAAAGAATATCATGAAATATAAGCATACGCGTGATCATGCATTTTATCCACACGAATAGCTTTCCTAACGACACACTTATTGATGAAATATAATAATATATGCTGCAGTACATCACAAGCACAGTATCACATAGGCCCAACTTATTCCAGAACACTGCGACAGACGCTAGTAACAACAAAACGACCTGGTCATCAATAAACTTATCAGAACAAATGAAACAACATTGTCCATTAGTTAATGGACAAAAGAAAGAATACCAAATTCTCGGACAGAAGAATAAGGACTAAAACAGGCGAGAAAAGACGCAATATAAGAAGCTAACTTCCTTATTAGTCAATGTCAAAACCAACAACATTCAGGAATGTTATCAAGTAATAAATAAAACATGACTTTAAAAACTCTAGAAAAAGGAAGCTTAAAGTCCATACTACTATGTTTCATAACATATTTTTTTTTTACTGTATTTGTTTATCCTTAGTATAAAAGCATGAATCTAATCATGCTTGAGAAATAAACATTGTATCTTCTATAATCTATACAGAAGAAAAAAGTTCTTCCCTATTTTTCATTTCTGTACATGGAACTATGACGTTAATCATCCCGACATATTCAGAAATTTCCGGATGGTAAAGATGCATTTCTATATTTTTTTCTGTTATTGCTTCAAACAGTTGAGAAGATAAAATGTTAATTTTTTTTTACAAAATTTAATTTCTTTCACACTTTTTTCTGCGTGTCTTCAAATTATATTAAGTATACATCAGATGATAAAGTACCACGGTAAGCCTACAGACTTATAATACTAAAATCCGGGGCTTTGCTCTAACACAACCAAACAAAAACAGATGATAAAAGGGCTTCTTATACTAATAAAATAAACATTTGTTTGTTTGATTTTAGAGCAAATCCACAATGGGCTAAATGTGATGTGCCCAAAGCGGGGAATTGTACTTCGAATTTTTGCGTTGTAAGTCCGTAAACTCACCGCTGTCCTGCCGGAGGACAAAAATAAAAATTATGATTGTTAATTGTCTTTCTTATATAGGGTTTTACACGCTCTCTGTATATTTAAAATAGATCCATGGTTTATGGTCTTTAATGTATCATAGCTCCTGCTTTCACTTCCGTCTGTAAAATTCATAACTAATTCTATTGGATAATTTTTTGTTGAAAAAAGTTTTTAAAAACGAGGTTGTAAAACACACAATGTTCCATTCCAAACTTGAACTGCTCGAAGGCTTGCCAAATTGTGTTTTATCTTAAATCAAAAGTTGCTGGAAACAAAAACCCTTAAAGTGCAGAGGAAAAATGTGCTGAGACAGGGGGAAGTTTTGAAGAATTGAGTTTAATTCATAGAAAAAAAACGAATGCAGCGACCCAAAAGATTTTTATACAAATTCATACGGCTTTATATTCATTGACTATTTTAACAGAGCTAAAGAACATAGGTTTATTTTTGAAACATTATTGCATTTCGACCAAACTACTTTATCCTATTGAAGTTTAACTTCACAAAATTAAGTTTGCTTGTTCGTTTGTTGTTAAGCACAAAGTTACATAGTGGGCTATCTGTGATGGGTCCACCACGGGTATCAAAACCTGGTTTTTAGCGTTATAAGTCCGCAGACATTCCGCTGTGCCACGGGGGGGGGGGGCGGCAAAATTAAGAGTTAAGGCTCTGTATTTATAACAATGTTTTTTGCTTGAAACTGAACCATAAAATGTTCTTAAAAACAGTAAATTAATTGACACACATGTATAAGAAGAAAAAGTTGCGTTCAACGCTACAAACTTTCATTCGTCTAAGCCTTAAAATGCAGTTTGAACAATTATTTTGATTAGATAAGGCGCTCAAGATGAGAGACATGATTGAAAAAGCAATTTCGAGAATTTTGAACACCAAAATGTTACGAGCATAACTATAAATTTTGTTGTCAGGACTGTTAGTGAAACGGCGAGCTTAACGAGGTTTCTTAGGCAATCTTATTAAAAATTGTTTTAAGCAAAACTTTTATATTTTACATCTTTATAAAATCTTACCAAATACCGCAGCTTTTCATTGTTCTTCATTAATTATGATTCGAAAAATGAAATAATATAATTCTAAACAGCTGTAAATCAAGGGGATTATTTTTAATCTTTTTATGTGTGTATAACATAAAATGTAAAAAATACAAAGCATTTAGACACTTCTAACAACAAGGGGGAAAAACAAAAAACAAAGAGAGAGAAACCATTACAGACTTATGGCTCCACCCTGGGTATGGGAGCGACAGCAGGGGTCGTCGATAAATCTCTCATGGGATCCGCATGATTGATCTTGTTTTGAAAGCTATGAGACGACAAGACGACCCTCTACGGCCACCCGGGGCCATATATACATCAGTCTTTTAGTCTAAGATTGCGTTTTGTGATAACAAATAAAGTGAGGCGAGCATAGGGGTATTAGAGCAAACGAACCGTGGTGCTATTCTACATTATATACAAATCGAAACCCCCTATGAAATCAAATTCACCTAACCTATTTAAACTATAAAAATGATATACAAAA